ATGTTTGCTTGGGGCCAATCTTCCTCACCAAGAAAAAAAAAGCCATCCCTCTGTCTCCTTGTACTGCACTCAGGGCCTGGGGACTGCCTGAGGCTCGCTGGAGCCGAGGACAGGCCGCGGCCCATCTCTGGGAGGAAGCATTAGTTCGTGCTCTGACAGTTTGAAAGCCCAAACAATTGCCTTTCTGATGAATAGTCTCCGGAGGGGCAGACACGGGTGTCCCAGGGAGCCAGGCTGTACCTACCTTCCCATCTGGGTGCGGAGGTGGGAATTCTCCCCTGGAACCTGCTCCAGGTCACCTTCTCAGGTCAAATGTGAATTCTGCCCCCATTTCAGTGTCATCCCTGGGCTGACCATTTTTGAGAGGTGTACGCAGATCAAGGGACATCGTGTCGATGACTTTCCATCCCTGTCTGGATGCCCAGCACAGAGAGGCAGAAACACCTGCTTCACACCATCAGGAAGGTTTTCGTCCCTGCCTCATTCCCTCCTTCCCATCACTTCCTCAAGGGCTGTCCCGGGACCCGGCGTTTCCGGGGGACCAGCTGGCGTGTTTTCAGGGTGGCTGACGTGCAGAGGGCAGAAGATCAGGCTAGGAGCAGACAGTGCAGGAAGAGCCACCCGGGAAAGGCTGTCAAAGCTGAGCCATCTCAGGGCAGCGGACACACAGTCCCCCGTGCGGACCTGCCCATGGGTGCTCAGGAGTTGGGGGCAGCCTCGGGGACCCTCTCGGGAGAGGCGAAGGGCGAGGAGGCCGGGCATTGGCGGGTGCAGAGGACACGGCCTGGGGCAGGGGAGGATGCTCCATCTCTCATGGGGACAGAAGACACACTTGGGGTCTGGAAGGATGGGGTGTGGGACTGAGTGAGGCCCGAGGAAGCAGGAGACGTGGGTTCGGCTCTGCGTCACTGTGTGGCCTTGGGCGGCCCGGAGTCAGCTCTCTGGGCCTCGGCCGTCTCTGGTGGAAAAGGCGCGGCGACCGCTTGAGGACTACTGCGGCAGGCCCGCGACCCCCGAGGAAACACGCTGGGCAGCGGTAGACGTGCGGCGTCAGGCAGCTGACTGCACGCAGGCGTGTCGGCAGGGGGAGCGGCACGGTCGGCCGCTCTTCTTCCCATTCCCAGTCCGGCAACTTTTCTGCGAGCTTGAAAGTATTTCTAAATAGCATTGAAAAAAATCCCAAGGCTGTTCAGAATCCACAGACCTGGAAAGGTCTCCAGGGCGTTTCGTGAGCGGAAGAAACAGACACGAAGCCCCGCCTGAGGCAGAGCAAGGCTCTTCTCCAGGGACGTCGTTTCATACCTTTCACTTGCTGTCCCATGTGTGCAAATCAGCTGACCAAAAATGCAAATTGATTTTCAAGAAGGAGAAAAGGATTAAATAAAGTAGGGGGATGTGAGGAAAGTTTGTTCACAAAAGGTCCAAAACACCCAGGCTGAGACCGGAGAGCCGCCGAGGGCAGAGTCGCTCCGGCTGCACCGCGACAGCAGCACAGGTGGCTCCCAAGGCCGCCGGGTGGGAAGAAAGCAGCCAGACCCCTGAGGGTGGCGGGTTCTCTGCGACTTCGTCTACACCACCTACTGGAACAGGCGAAGCTCACCTCGGCTGATGGACCTCAGCTGACGGACCTCGGCCCGGGGCTGCCTCGGGGACGGCGCACGAGGTTGCTGCTGGCTGGTGGAAAGGTTTCACTGAAGGCTTGTGCATTATTCTGTACGCACATCGCCCCTCAGCCCACTGAGCAGGTCCTCTGTCTGACTAGAAGCAGGAGGACCCGCAGGACCTGGGTGCCCGCGTTCTGGAGTTGATGGAATGTGCCTACTTTATTATTTTTTTAAAGATTTTATTTTTTCCTTTTTCTCCCCAAAGCCCCGCAGTACATAGTTGTATATTCTTGGTTGTGGGTCCTTCTAGTTGTGGCATGTGGGACGCTGCCTCAGCATGGTTTGATGAGCAGTGCCATGGCCGCGCCCAGGATTCGAACCAACGAAACACTGTGCCGCCTGCAGCGGAGCGCGCGAACTTAACCACACGGCCACGGGGCCAGCCCCAGAATGTGCCTACTTTAGCTCCTGGGAAATTAGCAGCTGGCCGTCTTGAAGGTAAAAGATGGATTCCGCCCATTTGGGGGTGGGAGGGTGGACGAGGGTTCCGATCTGCCTTATGAGGGAGCCCACTTGCTCTTCACCCCTCACTGCAGCCACGGGCATCTGTGGGATGGCCCGCCCTCCCCATCTAGGGATGGGGAAACTGAGGCTTGGACCAGGATCAGGAGGCGGGTTGGGGCTCTGGGCATCTTGCTCTAGTCTCTGGGGGCTCCTGCCGAGTCCCGCCTTCCTGCAATGCCTCCTTCCGCATTCCGCTGGCGTGCTTCTAACCAAACCCAGTGGTGACCACAGCCAACCAGGAGGGCTGGGCTGAGCCCCTGACCCTGGGGTCACCACCGTGCCTCATGCCCGGAAGTGAATCCTTTGCTCCCATCAGGGACAATCAGCCTGGCTTCCTTCTGCCCTGGTTTCCATGATGACCGCTGTGATCCAGATACTGTTCGCTGGGGCAGCCTGGGACCCTGGAGGTCAGGAGTGCTGATGCTGCTGCCATGCCCGACACCTAGAATTCAGCAGGCTGGCACCAGGACAAGAGTGTGTCCCCGGGAACGGTATCCTTGCGCCTGGGCACCTGTCCGGACCATCTGAGACCCCTGACCCAGCAGATGGGTTCTGAGCAGTGTGAGCTGCCCACTCGCAGCCCCACGACTGCCACAGATGACGCCAGATGCCTGGCTTGGTACTGGCCCAGCTCCTCACCACACGGTTACCTGCTCTGCAGAATGGGGGTTAGATGGTGCCCACCTGAGAGCACTGTGGTGAGGGATGAGCTAGCCCAGGTCATGCACCAGACAGGTCACGTCCTAGACAGCCGGGTGTTCCTGTCGTCATCACAGAAGGTGATGCCCGCACGGTGGAAGGCAGAAGGACAGCTGAGTCTGCTGGGCCAGGTGTGGGGGAGACCCTGCTAGGGTCTTCCGGCTTGGGCATCGGTATTCTCCCAGGGTCCCCAGGATGCTGCTGCCCTTATGTCCAAACTCCCGGGACGCTGGCCCTGAGCCTGTCCTGCCATTGCCCGCTGACCGAGGACAGCAAATAGAAACAGAAGCCACCCCACCCCTCACTGGTGGGCAGGGGCCTGAGCTGCTCTCTCTGTGTGGAGGTCGCCATCTCCCCACTAGATGGTGCTGTGTCCTCACGGCTAAGGCCGTCGCGCCGCTTCTGGGTACCGCTCCCCCCTGCCCGCCGCCTGCCTGGTCCAGCAGGGCTGGGCCCTGAGCCTGGCACTCTGGGACGTGGGACACAGAGTGCAGGGACACGGGACGCAGGGACGCGGGGGCACAGGGAAGCAGGATGCATGGATACAGGATTTGGGGACTCAGTGATTCGGGGATGCTCGATGCTGTGGTGGGGCTCGAGGGACTCAGGCCCATGAGATGGCTTCACAGCAAGCTGACCGGCCCACTGTGAGAAGAGGGGCCTCCTCGCTGTCCCTCTACCTCCCTTCCTCCCTCCTCTCCCTCTGTCCCCCATCCTTTGCTGCAGAATGAGAGTACTGCTTCTGGGGTCCAATCCCAGCTGCTCCCACTTACGGACTGGGCTGTGTGGCTTTGGGCAAGTGACTTAACCTCTCTGAGCCTGGCTTCCTCTTCCATAACTGGGTCCTGACCCTCAGGGGTTGGTGGGGGCGAGAGGCTGACTGGGAGGCCCTGGCCAGTGCCTGGTGGGGAGGGCTTACAGTGGGGCGTGGGCTCTAGTTATTATTGTTACTGTTATTGCTACTGCACCCTCATCCGCTCGGCCCTCTGGGAGAGGGGGTGGCTCCGAGAAGGCGACTCGGAGATCCTGGGCGGCCTCTACCTCCTAGCACTGCTCTGGGAGCCCTCGCTGACCCTCTCCTCTGCCTCCTGCTGAATTTCTGGATGGGCACCCGTGGGGTGGGCACATGTCCCCGTCATGTCAGCAACCCCTTCGGGGGACCCAAAAAGACAGCTTGGGGATGCAGTGCTGCTCGACAAGGACCTGGGGAGTCATCAGGGGAGGGTGTTGGCTGGTGATCAGGGACAGAGCAGAGGCCGGCCCCCTGAAGACTGCACAGAGGGGATCACCAAATGTGCTGGGCACTGGGTGAGCCCTGACGATTTCATGGGAAGAGGCCGCTGGGCAGCGCAGCTCCGTTGGAGTCCAGAGGCAACGAGAGCCGCGTGACCCGTGGCTCTCTGATCCCACAGTCTGCCGCGGGGACGCTCCCTGCCTGAGGGCAGTTTGTCTCACTGTGACTCTTGGGCTCCGGGCCCACCACGGACCTCCAGTCACATTCTGTGAGCGAATGTGCGGATGTCCACCAAGAGCGCTTGGTCACTTAGGTCCCCAGCAGCCTGGTGCGGGGCTGGTCACCCCCGCTGGCCGTGCCTGATGGGGAAGAATGCAGAGTGTGTCCCCACACCTGAGTTTCCCTTTATGCTGACTGTGGGCGTGGAGGGCCAAGTAGGTTTCTCATGCAGGCTCCTGCAGGGTCGCTGGCTCAGGCCCCATCTGGGCATCCCCCAGCAGGTCCACTGCACACACAGCCACACACAAGCCTCCCAAAGAGGCCGAAACCTCCGCCTCTTGCCAGAGCCCAAACACCCCCGGTCAACTCCTCTGGATTCAGAGTGCCCAGCTCGCTTTGTCTTGGGAGTCTCATAAGGCGTCAACCATCACTCAATATCAGGGTGTCTCTGTGCTGGAGTGGAGAACCCCCCAAGCAGGCCAGGTCCTTGGCGGAGCCTCCGGCCTCGGCTACTGCAAACGCCTTGAGTGGTGCCACTCCTGCCTCAGCCTCCTGCTGCCTGGGGCCTCTTACACCCGTACTGTCCAGCGCCTTCTAGCAGACGGCAGCAGAGGGAGAAGCAACAGAGCGTCAGGGTCACGGCGCATGCTGTGCCTCAGCCCGGGGTGCGAGGTACTCACCGTGCTCGCGGTGAATTCTGGCGGGTTGTCGTTCACGTCTGTCACCGTGACGATGGCTGTGGCTGTGTTTGAGAGGCCGTAGTTAAGGTTTCCTTCCATGTCCGTGGCCTGAATGATGACTGTGTACTGCTGAACTTTCTAGAAGGGAATGAGTCGGGAAAGAACACTGATCAGTTTGGGTTTCAGTTTACAGGCAGTTTATCATCAGGAAATACACTTCCCGGGATGGAGTTAGCGGCAGCCGGGTCCCGTTCCTGCCGGTGCTGCGCTGGCCGCAGGGCTCTCTGATGACCTGGTGGAAGCACGTTCTCTGTCACGTGCTGTGGGTGACACACGGCACGAAGAGGTCTGGCCACATTTTCATCTTGGTGGCCCTGGCTTCAGTATAGATGGTATTTGGTGCCAAGTCAGAAAGGAGGAGAACGGGGGCCCTGCAGAGCGTGGGGCTGTGTTAGTTTGGAAAACTGGGGATGGACGTTTTGCAAAGGGAGGGACAATCCCACAGACATGTGCTGGAGGGACCTCATTTCTTTAGCATCTTCAGCGTCCAGCTCAACGGCAGCTCAGAAGTTTGGACAGGAGAAGGAAAGACAAGCCCTTCTCTGCTCTCCTGGCAGGTGCACAGGTCCGGGTGCACTTTCTGTTCGAGCAGAGTCCGGAGGGAGCCGTTAGCATTCAAGTGTGAGTTTTAAAAGGCAAATAAAGCTTGATGGAAAGAGTGAATTTGCTAGGCGTTGACGGAGTCTCTTAGCCCGTCTCCACCTGGCCCTTGCCGGGAGTCCACCAGTCCAGAAATCCCCAAGTCAGCAGAGGTGGCCTTTTCCACACCCCTGTTCTGACAGAGGTCACAGGAGCTTCCAGTGTGACAGGTGAGGAGGAGCCTGGTTGCAGCTTTGCTGGGACCACAGCCCACCTCTCACTGGCACCATTAGGGAGGGAGGATGCTGGGGTCAAGGCAGAAAGGGACCCTAGAAAATGCCTTCCAAGTGATGAACTATACTAAGTCCTGCTCCTCCAAGAGGTTGAAGGAAAAGACCAGTTTCTAGCCATGTGAGTCAGTGAAATGGGCTCAAGTTCCATAAACTGGCTCCATAAAGAATTATAAACAACAGATGTGTCACCAAACTGTCTCTCTTTTTCCATTCATCCATTCATTCCTCTCTCCTTCCCTTCCTCCTTCCAGTCACTCACCCGTCCACTCATCTATCCACCTATCTATTCATCCATCCACCCATCCATGATCCATCCATCCTTCTATCCACCCACCCTCCCATCCATCCACCCATCCATCCCCATCCATCCATCCACCCATCCATCCCCATCCATCCATCCACCCATCCATCCCCATCCATCCATCCACCCATCCATCCCCATCCATCCATCCACCCATCCATCCCCATCCATCCATCCATCACTTCTCTATTCCTTCCTCCTTCCCTCCCAGACCAGCCAGGTTCAAACCGACCTGGCAGGTGATGACAGATGCATGAATGAGCCCAGCCAAGGCTGAAGAGTTTTCCAGCTGAGCCCAGCCCAAATTGACAAGCTGTGGAATTGAGAGCTAAATAAATGGAAATAAATGGATGTTGTTTTCGGCTGCTAAGTTTCGGGATGTTTTCAAATGCAGCAGAAGCTGCACCCAAATCCAAAAATCCGTACCATGGCCCACAAGGCTCCGTGTGCCTGGCTGCTGACCACCTCTCCAGCCTCTTCTTGAATCAGGCCCCCTACTCCCTCCATACAACCTCCCTCAGTTCCTTAGACTTCCCACACGGCCTCCCACCATGGGACTTTGCACATGCCCTTCCCTCTGGGGAATGATTTTCCTTCTCCTTTAGTTAGAGCCTACTTTTCTTTCAGGTCTTTCCTCAAATGTCTCTTTCTCCTGGAATTCTCCCTGACCCTCTGGACAAGCCAGGGCCCCCATTACCTGCCCTTAGACTGGCCTACTTGGCATCCATGGCTTATGCAGAGAAGAGTGGGTGGTTGAGGTCAGGGGGCGTGGGGGAGGGTGGAGGAGACAGACATGAGGAGGGAAACACGGCACCTCCCTGGGCTGGGAAGCCTTTCCTGCTCTCTGTTTCAGTGACTGGAGTGACTGCTGTGAAGTCAGCTGAGCATGTGGCCCTGCCCCATCTCACAGATGTGGACACTGAGTCCAGCGAGGGCTGGCAGTCGTATGGTCTCCCCAGTGCCACACAGCAAACCAGGAGCAGGTGGGGGTGCCGCTGGGCTTCCTGATGTGGGCGTTGCTTTCAGGCCTCGATGTCGTCCACTCATTGTTAGTGAGGACACCTAGCAGGGCTCTTTCTGAGTGTGGGATGGACAGGATGCAAAGACATGGCCAGCGCCATGCTTAACTGGCTACCCTGACGGCAGCACGGCCCGGATTCCCTTCATCTGTGCGTACAAATGCACGCTCAGGCCTCTGACATCCTTGTCCACGCAAAGGTCCCTCTCAGAGGCTTCTGTGCCTCCAGATCCCAGCAGAGGGAGAACGCCCCTTCCCTCCTGTCCATCACAGGGAGCTGCCAGCCTGAGTCACGGCTCTGCCTCGCCTAGGACACTGTGGCGCCAGGCTGGGGAAGGGGCCAGCACCAGCAGGGGCAAACCAAATCCAAACCCCAAGTCCCCGGGTGCCTTCTGCTGGGGGTCCTGCCCCAGGAGCCTCACTTCTGTGCCTCGCTCCCCACTTGCACGGGGGCACTGCTCACAGCTGCCGGCCCCCCACCTCGATGCCGGCCTCGTGGGTCCCCCTCCCCGAGGAAAAGTAGTGGAAGGAAGTCCGATTTTCTGATGAGGCGGGAGGCAGCTCGCTTTGGAAACTTTTTTCATTTCTCACCCAAGTTTCTCTTGCTCTTTACAAATCTGATTTTCTCCTCCCTCCCAGGACTGATGTGGACATCTGAGCTGGAAGGGAACTCTGCAGCCTCCCTCCCACGCTCAGAGGCCCCATCCGCATCTGCGGCCCTCAGCCGACCCCTCTCCCTGCACGCGTCTGCCTGGGCCGATGGATGTTGACTGCTTGCGTGGTTGCCTCCATCCCCACTGTGGCCGGGCAGCAACTTGGGCCCTGTTATGCTCTTGGGAGCATAACTGTGTGCACTGTTAGGCACACAGTGGGCACTCAATAAGTACTTGCTAAAGGAACGCATGAATGAGGGCAGGTCAGTGCTTGGCAGAGCAAGGTGTCAGGTGGTCCGATGCTTCCAGGATGTGGCTGCGCAGGAACCACACCCACCCCGCTCCCCGGGGCAACTGGTCACCTCTTCCCCCTGTGCAGAGGGAGCCCTGGACTCCAAGACCCTGAGGCCAGGGCAGCGCTGTCACCGTCCTGCTGTGACCTCAGGCCAGTCCCAGCCTGCCTCTTCCTGTGGCAGAATCAGGGAGTCTGCTGAGGCCCCCACCTCTGTGCCCACCTGCTCTCATTGGCTGGCAAGGATCACAACGGTTCTTCCCTGGAGACAGTGAAGATGAGGGTGATAGGACACACGTGGAGCATGGGGTTAAGTCGCTCCCCCAAATCCGAGTCCACCAGGAACCTTAGACATGGAAATAGGGTCTTTTGCAGATGAAATCAAGGTAAAGATCGAGTTGAGACCATTCTGGGTTAGGGTGGGCCTCAAATCCAATGACATGTGTCCTGGTAAGAGAAGATGAGATGAGTCCACAGGACGAGGCCATGTGAGATGCAGGCAGAGACTGGAGTGATGTGGCCACAAGCCTAGGCACCCCAAGGACTGCCAGCCACCCAGGAGCTGGAAGAGGCATGGAACGGGTTCCATGGCCCTCCAGAAGGAACCCACCTGCCAAGGCCTTGGTTTCGGACCCCTGGCCTCTAGAACCGTGAAAGAACACATTTCTATGGTTTGGCGACACCCTGTTTGCAGGACTGTGTTAGGGCAGCCCCAGGAACCTAATAAGGCCTTGGGCAGCCCATTCTGGAGCTGCTGGAGGGAAGGAAGGCTTCGTGATGCCCTCTGTCCCCCCACTGGCCTTGCTCAACACAGATGGCAAGATCCTGCTCGGTGAGGCTTCAGCTGTGACCCCGTGGGCCCGGCCATCGGGGCCTTGGCCAGCTGACCACCTGGTCGGGGGAAGGAGACCAGGGCTGGTGGGCCGGGAAGAAGGCCCTCGGCGGAGCAGACACGGATAAGAGCTGTCAAACCTCGCGCCCCAGGGCCAGCCACCCCTATATGGGGCCAGAGCGGAAAATAGGAGGACACAGGCCGATGGCAGAGGAAGAGATTCAGCGGAGAAGAGAGGAAGAGAAGCGTCAACCCCAGAAACCGCTGTTGTGTGATTGCAGCGTGAATCATTCTCTAAATCTTTCCTACCTCCTCAGTCATCGAGTCACAACTTCTATATGGACCATCCTGGGCTACTGCCCTCAGAAGACACTGGAGAGAAACAAGCCACCTCAGAGACACAGGGACACGTATGTGTCTATGCACGTGTATATGCACATGCACGTGTATTCATGCATGTATACATGCCCACATGTATGCACACGCAGGTATGTGTATAGGTGCAGGCACATATGTGTATCAAAGCATGTACACAAGTGTATGTGTACCTCTCAAGTGTATCCTCTCAGTGTGTATCACTGTGTATGGGCACACATGTGTATGTATCCATGGATGCATGTGTATGCGTGCATATGTGCGTCCCTGTGTGTATGTGTGTGCACACTTGTGTGTACAAGTCTGTGCAGCTGACACCACGAGAGGGTGTGCCGGCCTTGCTTTTGGGAGCCGGGTGGGGGTGTTTCCTGGCCACAGGTCGGGGCAGAAAGAAAACCCAGCAGGAAGGAAGTGGGTTCAGGCCCCTCCGCTGTGGCTTTCAGTTTACGAAGTATACTTTTCAGACTCTGTAACAGTCACCATTTTCTCCTTCACTGAATCCCCTCTGGAGTGGTATTCAGAGGCCGAGGGAGGGCGGGGGGCACCTGCACGTACCAGGGAAGGTGGGCATCCCCTGGTGTCCCTGGACACAGACCCCCCCTGCTTACATAACTGTCCAATCTTTACTTGGCGGGGCAGGCCTGGTGCTGTTGGGGCTTTTGATGTTTCTATTAATCAGCCTGCCTCAGGGCCTTGTTTCTGGCGCTCGAGCATCTCATCGTTCACGAGAGGCCA